CATACCCAGCCATACAGATTAATAGTCCATTAGAAATAAGATTAGAAGAGACTTATTTGTTATGTTGCTGGGTTTATTTTGTGACAGATGAGAAAAGAAAGGCAGACTCCCAACAACTGAAGCATGGCTTTTACCCAAAGGATGAGAAAGACCATGAAACTAAATTGTTGGCTTTTTTCTTTTCTTTTCTCAAACATTGAGAACAAAAACATAATACATATGTCTTCCTGAGCTTACTGTGAACAGTATTTATTGTCGTGCTCCATGGTGGGTTTTAGACAAACTGGGTCAAATTCACACCTGATGACATAAACACTCTTCTAAAGGAAGGTGCTTTCGTACTGTGTGAATCTAATACTATCATAGCCCAAATGTAAACCAGCTTCTTTCTTTATGAAATAATAAGGCTGCATCTGTTATCACAATATTATTATTCACATTAGCATTTAGAGGTTCCATCTGCGATCAGGGCACTGTTGTGCTGAGCGCCCTCCCCCCCCCCCAAATCTCTGCCCTGAAGATTTTACAATCTAAATAGAGACAACTGACAAAAGGTGGGGGAAAAGGAACTACCATCATCCTCATGTACAGACCAGACACAAAGAGATCAAGTGACTTGCTCACATTCACATAGGAGGTCTGTGGCAAAGCCAAGAACTGAATTTTGCTCTCCTGAGTCACAGTTCACTTCTTTAGCTACAGACCTAGAAGAGTAGTCTCAGCATCTACATGGGGATAACAGACTCATGTTGACACTGGTCAGCTGACTCAGGTTTGCAGAGCTTGGGCTGCAGGGGTATAAATCACTGTGTAGACATTTGGGCTCAGGCTCATGTGGCTAAAAATTACTGTGTAGTAGGGATGTTAAGAAGTGGAGTTCTTTTTTTGTAAACAAGTAACCTCTGAAAAATTTACATGCTGGGGGAGGCAGCCCCGTAGGAGCCCTTTTAAGCCAGCTCCCCTCAAGCACCAGCTCCTGCAGAGCCAACTGCCTCTCCCCACATGCTGCTGCCTCTGTATCATAGGCAGCAGCACACATTGTGTTCTGGATTTAGTGCTCACAGGCCCCTGAGGAGCTGCCCCCTCTCTCGCCCCCACGCTGCTGATACAGAGGCAAATACCAACACAGATCAACAGCAGCACTGCTTTTCCCTGACTCAGACCCAGAGATCAATTCATAGGACTCTCAGCTAGCTCTCCTGAAAGAAAGGCACCTTCCATCCACCTCTCTCTCCACTCACACTTGCCTCTCCTTGCAGATGGACACTTCTGTATATTCACTGCCCCATGCCATTCACAGGTGGATGCTCCAGGCACCACACTGATCACCTATAGCTTCCCTAAGGTGCATCAAAAATGTAGATGGACTTTTACAAAACATGTTTTTCCACATATTCTCCACTCTCCACCATAATAGACCCTTCATTAAGTCAAGACACTGTGGAGACATTTGCTTAGCTTGCCCTTCCTTGGGACTCAGTATATAAGGGCAGGGAGAGCCCAGACCCTGATTCCTTATTGTTCTGCACTTGGCACCACCATCCATCTGTGCAAAGTGAGTGAAATTCTGCCTAATCAAAATGGGGGCATTTTACACTCACTGTGCCCAGAAGTAAGTGCCTATACTAGATGCAGAGCAATGAAAACTCAGGCCACAGTATTTTTGCCTTAGCAATGTGGTTGAAATGTGCTGAGGTGGATGGTGGCAGGAACATGTCACCTGATCATGATGACCCCAGCAGCAAGGCTAGCAAGGACATAGAGACAGTGACAGCATCTTCCAGACAATAATAAAGACAAGTTGATTCCCTGCTTGTCAGAATAGAGGTAATAATAATGGCTTTGTACTCACGCAGCTGAGTATCTCAAAATGATTTACAAAAACACTAAACGTGCCACCCACCCATGAGTTTGGTCACTTGTATGATCCCCATTTGACAGATGGAGAAACTGAGGCACAGAACTGTGAAGTGACTTACCCCAAATCACATAGTGAGTCATTATATGAACTGAGTCCCTCACTGCCCCCCAGCCATTTGCAGCAGCCACTGTGCTACATTGATCCTGCAGCCACAATTAAGTAACATCACATCAGACCACACCTCCTCTCAGGTGTCAGTTATTTTGTCATCTAGTTCTCAGAGTGTAGAAGGGATGGGAATGGGAGGAGCCTCTGATTTGTAAGGGCAACAGCATCATATATAGCTGCATCCTACACAGGGCTAAGAAATATTTCTAATAATGGGTTGTGAGGGGAACAGGGTTAGAAGAAAAGAGCCTGATTTTTATTTTCACCAGCTGTGTTAATGTTTGTCTCTTATATAAGACCAAGCCAATCAATCTAAACACAAAAGTAGTATCAGTTCTCAAGGCCATCCCTAGGAGGGTGCAACCCCTCCCAGTGCCCCAGGCACAGTGTCCAGGGCAACTTCCCCCAGTGTCCCAGGCACAGGACCCAAGGCAATCCCCCTTCCAGAAGCCCCATCCCCCGCCCACATCCCCACACTGGCTCTGCTCCACTCCTGCCCTCAACATCATTCCTTCCCACAAACCCTACTGTTCTACTCCCTTGCCTGAACAACATGAGCTGTGGGATTACTGGGGGGTTTGGTGTGGTGCAGCAGCAGCAGGGATTGCCCCCCCACACACACACACTCACCACTGCAGTGAGAGCCAGAGCAACCCAGCAGCTTGCTTTGCTCTGCCTCACTGCCTATATTCGAGCCAGCTGCATTCGAGCCACGGCAGCTGGTAATCTCCTGGGCCACTCTGGTCCCCATGCATAGGACAGTTGAGGCAGCCGCTGTGCGACCCGCAAAGTGTGGTGCCTAGAATGTCTGCTCCAAACCATCCTATGGATAGGATGATTCTGCCAGCCTTGATCAAGGGTTAACACAGCAGTGTTGCAGCAACACAGCATGTTACTTTGCAGGAACCTACGCGTGTCCTTTAGATACCATACTGGTAGTAACTTAAAATTAAGAACTATATTAAATAGACACGGCCTGATTCCCCACTCTATTACAGCTTGTTTTCACTGTAGCCTATAGGATAGTTTGGATTAATAAATAAATAGAAGTTACACTAACTTGGGTCAAAAACCTATGGGTAAAGGAGTATGGGAAATTGAAATTGCTACTAGTATGAAAAAAAGGCAAAAGGCAAGTTAGAGACATAGTGACATGGGAAAATAAGAGTTAGCAAGGACATGACCCAGAGTTCTGTAATCATTATGTTTTGAATATATATCTGGTCTAAGCAACCTTTTAAATAAGTGTTTATGAAAACTGTGAATGGTTTATTAAAATGTTATCTATATTGCTAGAATGTGAAGGACATTGGTGCAGCTGTTAATTTAAATAACATACATTGTAAAGAGCCAATCAGAAGGTGGGAGAAAGATAATTATGGTAAAGGAGTTTAATGTTAATTAATATTATAATACAGTATAAAAGGAGTAGTTTTGCTAATTGCAAAGGAAAGCTCCAATTAACATCCAAAGGGTACTACTGTTAGGTTCCAGGACTATAAGGCTGTACTTCACTGTGTTGTCAATGGACTGATTACCCATCAACACACATTTGATAGTTGCATTTGGGTAAGTAGTAATTGCATGCCTGCTGGCTTAACTAATAACTTTGCTTTTTGATAAAGTTTAGTTATATCATTCAAAGTGTTGCCTAGTGATCCTCTACTAAACTTTTTTTCTGAAACCAATCTCAGTGCTTGAACTGAAAACCAAGCTGTGTTTTCTTGGATCCTTATGTTTAACAACTCAGTATTACTTGGGAACATTTCAGCAGAAAGTTTACTATATTAATATAACCCATTCAAATCAGGAGCAAAAGTGATGTGATAGAGTGGAGAATTAGTCCTATAGTTTAGATCCTGATCTAGCAGGATTTGAAATTGCTGTGATGATAAATGTGCTCTCCCCTAACCTCTGCTGAGGAGGGCAGCATCTTACATGAACGTCCAAAGTGTCTCTTGCTGACTGAAGAGGAGTATTAACTGGACTCCCAGGGAGTTATGTCTGAGCCCGACCAAGGGAAAGTCATGGTGACTTGGGGCCTGAGATACCACCCTTTTACAAAGATAGGTACTCCCAGATTGGCAGGAGCAAAAATTATGCAGTCTAGGTTTGAAAAATAAATACGTACTATATGATTCAAGGGAATGGGATGTATGTAGTTAAATGCATTTTTATTTACAATTAGAGCTAATCTGACTAGTTGTTTCAGTTTACTCAACATTTAGCCTTTTCTTCTGTCATGAATTGTGTTTGAACAGATAGTGAGTATTATGAATGCATCAAATAAATTTGACAAACATTTTTGACCTGTGGCTTTTTCCAAAAACTGTTCACAGCAAATATCCATTCAGTTACTGATACTCAGAATTCATTATTTCATATTTGGGACTATTAGCCAGCTTTTATGATATTGGTTCTGTTCCATTATAGGATGGCTGAACTTTTACAAAGGGCATACACTTTTCTCCGGAAGGAATTTTGTTTAGTCACAAAACAAATTTTGTTTCTCAGTTAACTGAATCTCACCTACAGGGCCCCAAATTCTCTCTCATGAATATTCGTACAGATTTTGTTCACATGAATGTTCACAGGCAGCACACCACAGAGATGCCTGCTTTTAAGCCAAGCTGTTAATTTCACAAACTTTGCAAGCTGAGCTTTATTTTAGTTTACCAGCTCTATTTACTATTATCATATTAGCCATTGTTCATTAATATCAATGTGCTGCACAATGTGAGCATCACAGCCTCACTAAATGATTAATAAGTAGACTGCTTAAGGAAAAGAGAATGCATACAATGCCAGTGCAGCAACATTCTTTTCAAAAGCAGTAATTTAGGGATTCAGCTGCACTGGACATCGTTTAATAGATGAGGTTCAGAAAGGGGGATTGGCAATTTATGTTTTCAACAAATGCCTCATTTTGTACATAGATATTCCCAAACCCCACCTCTGAGTACTCACTCACCAGCAATGTGCTTCTCTTCTTCTTCCTCTCAGACTACTTCACTGCTCAGTCCGCCAGTACATTAAGTCTTTAATATCCTGGAAATCAAGAGGACAAATGGATCCGTAAATATTACTAGACAATTCTAACACAGACCTATCTTTTCTGTGGGGAGAGAGAGAGAAGGAGTGCTATTGGTTGGCTAAAAGAGATTGTGTGTACATTGCCAATGTAATTTGATAAATGGTTTTCAAATAAAAGGAAGTTAGCCAGTTCCCTGATACTTCAGATATACAGAGTTACAAGTCAGTAAGCCAATAGCTGTGCTGAAAGGGTCTTAGCTGACAGAGCAGGGGAAAAATCCAGGGATATGGGCATGAGGGGTTTTAGCTGGTGCATGAATATCTCTGATAGATATAGTAAAGGTCCCTGCAGATATAAAGAGGCTCTCTAGAGATATTGTTACATCTTACATATAGCTAGCAAACGGGCATGTTCCTGACAGAGGCGGTCTGCTGTCCCACAGATCTTCAAGGGTGACTTTAACCTTCCTTGCTAACTGCCAAGTCCAGCAAGGCATTTTCATTCCACACTCCAAGCTGTTGACAACTTACACAAACAGGTCCCCAGTGCCACATCCCCATAAGAGACACGCACGCTTTCTCGTCAAAAGGAGATGGGGAGGTGAAAGAAAGGAGATGTCACTGACTGTCCCACAGTGCCAATGTCAGCAGAGGACAATTCCAAGTGAAAAGAGAGAAAGGACTGCAGGGAACTATCACTGCCATCCAGCAAAGCTGATTGGTGGACAGTGTTGCTGGGCTATAGGAGCAAGGATGGAGTAAATTCCTTTCCAAAGGAGCCCAGTTTCTAGTTTTCTTTCTCTTCCAGAACCAGACATAAAAGAGAAAAGCTCCACAACCCCCAAACTGCTTCTCTCTCATGGTACCCCTAAGGTGGTACTGCCAACACACAAGTGCTTAGCACATGCATTCCCTAAGATTGAAAATGCAGTTCTGAAGAGAAAGGGTTAACCCACAGAAGCACAGCCACCTGAGAGCTGAGAAGTTTAAACTGACAAACTTAGTCCTCTGTAAACAGAGGCAACAAACCACATGAAACAACAGCCATTAGAATGTTGTTGTTTTAAATACAGAAAGCAAACCCAGTGACCATCCCCAACCTACAATCTGAAGCTTACCCCAGATTTCTCACTGCTCCGGAATCAGTGGTGAGATGGAAATATTCTCACACCAGAGTCCGTTGACTCTCCAAGGAACTTGAGAGAGAAAAAAGAAGGCAAGGGAGAGCGGGAGAGAAGGGGGCGGAGGCAGATCTGACATGTTTGTACAGTGCCTGCTTCACCTAGCTGTGAATTTGATTTCAGGGTGTGGTAGTAGATGAGACACAGAAACGTTCAACGCTGGAAAAAGCCTAATGAATGCTGACACTGGACTCCCTTTGGACCCTGGAAGAGACAGGGCAGAGAAGGTGCTCAGAGTGGCATCAGAGCAATGAAGTTTGTGAGGTCTCAGGCAAGAACCTATGTAAGGTCACCACCTTCTTTGCACCCCTCCTCACTGGCTGACCTATTAATGCTCCAACTTGCTCATTAATGCTTCTCTGTTAGCTCTAGTGCCTTGGGGCCTAGAGCTTCCGCAGTTCCTAATGAATCCTGACATCTCCTGCTGTGTTGTACTTGTTATGAATTTCAGGACCTGCCACAAATTCCTAGTTATTCCTGGCAGGGGGAACTTTGATCATTTGATACAGATCTGGACAGAAGATAATTAATTAATTTTGCATTGTAGATGTGCAGCATATGACCTGGTGCCAATACTTTCCTTCTGTGCTTGCCACGAGTCAGTACTGTGTGGTTTACTGCCTAGTATCACCCTATAATCCTATTGCTCCAATTGTGCGATGGCTTGGGGCTTATTGACTCCTGGAAATATGCATTTCTGCATCAGCGACTTCTGTCTGCTGGAACATCAGTCAGCAGAGGGGGATGGGAAGAGGTGGAACATGGATGAGGCACAGAAGGAGATCAGAGTTCATGTCTGCCAAAGCTGTGTGGTTTACTGCCTAGTATCACCCTATAATCCTATTGCTCCAATTGTGCGATGGCTTGGGGCTTATTGACTCCTGGAAATATGCATTTCTGCATCAGCGACTTCTGTCTGCTGGAACATCAGTCAGCAGAGGGGGATGGGAAGAGGTGGAACATGGATGAGGCACAGAAGGAGATCAGAGTTCATGTCTGCCAAAGCCATCAACAGTTGAGCAAATAAAGGGGATTCTTGGCTTATTGCAACAGTCTTACAAACAATGCCAGTCTAATACCGAGATGTTTAGTTCCAAAGAGCAAAGATAAAAATAACATTTAAAACTCCTGAATGCCACACTGTGTAATTTACTCCCTTTGGTTTGTGTGTGTCTTTTGCTAACAAGACATTAACTAAAAAGCATGACAGAAGTAACCCTGATCAATTAAACTGTCACAGGCATGACAGACAGACATTATGGCTCAGTGGATAGGGCAAAGGGGTGGGACTCAGGAGACCTGGATCCTAATCCTATCCTGCCACTGACTTCCTGTCTGACCTTGGATAAGTCACGTCACTGCTAAGTGCCTCAGTTTCCCCTCCTGCTGCCTTTCTTGTTTATTTACATTACAAATTCTTTAGGGCACGGTGTCTTTTACTATGTGCATATACGTTGCCCATCACAATGGGCCCAGGTTTCCAGCTGAGATCTACAGGAACTATTGCAACACAGAGAATCATGATAATAATATTGAGGACACCAATGCAGTTGCACCACTGTAGTATGTCTGGTGAACCATAGGCATAATTTTCCATCGGCATAATTACCCCACTTCCAGGAGAAGCAGAAGCTGTTGGTACAAGAGTACCTCCCAATGACATAAGACCCCCTTAGGTTCCTGTAACTTGCATGGCTTAGGGTGATGTCTTTTTCAATCCCAAGTGATATAACTTAGATCGACTAAAACACTAGTATAAACCTGCCCTTAGACAGGGTGAAGGTGTATACACAGGGACTGTGGTCTGTACTGGAATAAAGTTTGATGTTATTTCACAATCTGGGGTTAATATTCCCTCCTCTTCCTTTTACAGCTTCTGGCAGCCTGCCATGGCCCACAAGGAGGTTTTCTGACAGAGACAGGAAGTGCAATCACTGCTTCCATACATTATTCTACCCGTCCTGGTTTGCTGAGGCCCACCAAGGAGATTTCCTACTGGTTCTTGTAGCAGTCTCTCTAGTGTCTAGGAAGTAAACTTGGCCAAGACAGTTTCTATTTCAGGATTGGCCTATCTGCTCCCATTGGGGCGTGTGAAATTGGAGTCCCAAGAGCAGTTGTAACCAAGAAAAAGAGTGTTTTTATTTGTGACAGCAAACACCAGAGTGCTCAAAAAAGGCCAGAGTTAGCCTCCAAGTAGGTCTCCTTTCAGAAGACTGGGATCTGAGCTGCAAAAGGTAAAGTGGCGCCATGTGAAGAATAAGTTTAGGATATGAGCATGATCCCTCATTTCATTTGCCATGCTGGCAGGGGATGTGCCTGCTACTGAGTTGTGTCTGTTACACTGTCTATATAGCATCTACAACTTCTATGCATTTCCACTGTGTCAAGCAGTGAGGATCAGTTTATATGGGTAAGTTTGGAGAAGTATCACAAAGAAATCTCACATGTGCTCCACAGGGCATCACTCAAGTTTGGGCAGCATTTAAATCTACACAAGGAAGAGCCCTCATGGTGTTAAAGGTTTAGGGAGCATTGCATGAAGCTCTCTAAAACAAGAAGCACATCCTAGTCATGGAGAGAGGCTTCACCGCAGATGGAAGGACCTGGCTTTACTTGTCCTAATGAGTTCTTTGGATGGAGCTTGAGCAGCTCAGCAGTCTGAGATATAAAATGAAGAAAAGGAGCTTCATTTAGGGTGAGCAGTGGGGGGTTCTAGCTCCCCTCAGAGTTTCACACCTGTGTGCTAACAGTGCATTACTGCCTAGACCCAGACAGAGCTCTTAACTGCAAAACAGTTTGAGTGTGATATGAGTTCTGTGCTGCTCCCAACTTCTGCCTTTGGGGCAGGGAGTTTGTTTATACACAGAGGCAGGGTGATTAAGATAACAAAAGTCTTGTAATTAAATTAAGGATTTTTAGATGATCTTGAAAGCATCGCCAGGCACTCCAGTTAAAAGATAGGCAACAAAGAGTAGGAATAAACTGTGAGAATAGAGAGAGATAAATAGTGTTATCCTGCAGGGGTCTTTACTGGGACCAGTGCTGTTCAACACATTCATAAATGATCGGGAAAAGGGGGTAAACAGTGAGCTAGTGAATTTTGCAGATGATATAAAATTACTAAAAATGTTAAATCCAAAGCAAACAGAAAGGGGTTACAAAGGGATCTCACAAAACTAGATGACTGGGAACACAATGGCAGATGAAATTCATGTTGCTAAATGCAAAATAATGCACTTGGCAAAATATAATCCCAACCATACATACAAAATAATGGGGGTCTAAATTATTTGTTACCCAACAAGAAAGGAATCTTAGAGTCATTGTGAATTGTCCTCTGAAAATATCTGCTCAAAGTGCAGGGCAATCAAGAAAGCTAACAGACTACTGAGACTCATTAGGAAAGGTATAGATAATAAGACAAAAAATATCATATTGCCTCTATATAAATCCATGATACACCCATATGCTGAATACTGAATACAGATTTGGTCACTCCATCTCAAAGAAGATACAGTGAATTTGGAAAAGATACAGAGATTAGGTATCTGGAACAGCTTCCATATGAGGAAAGATTAGAATTTTGCATCTTGGAAAAGAGATGACAAAGCAGGGATATGATAGAGGTTTATAAAATCTTTAATGGTGAAGAAAAATTGTATAAGGAAATCTTATTTATTCCCATCAAATAACACAAGAACAAGGGGTCCTCCCATGAAATTAATAGGCAGCGGATGTAAACCAAATGACAGTGTTTCTTCATAGTCCCCCGGCAAAGGGTTTTGCAGGTTATGTTGTAAAGGCCAAAACTATAACAAGGCTCCATGCGAGCTAGATAAGTCCCTGGAGGATAGGTTTCTTAATGGCTAGTAGTAAAGGTGGGCAGGGATCCAACACCATGTTCTGTGTGTCTCTAGCCCAAGGGTGAGCAATAATTTTTGATGGGGGGAGGGACACTCCAAGATTTTGGTAAGCGGTCAAGGACCACACTTTTCTATAGAGTGAGTACGCCGATACGGGGTCTGGGCTCTAAGTTAGATACAGAAGGGAGCTCGGGGTAGGTGACTAGTGTGCAGGAGAAGACATGAGGGGTGAGAGGGTGTTTGGGTGAAGGAGGGGGTTGTGACCTGGGGCAGAGGATTGGGATGCAGGGTCCAGGAGGAGGTATGGGTGCAAGAGAGGATTCTGGAGGAGGGATGTAGGAGCAGGTGCAGGTTCTGGGAGGGAGTTGTGACATGCAGCACGGAGTGGGGGGGGAGGGTGCACAGAGTTTGGGAGGTGACCTGCAGGAGGGGATTGGAGTGCAGGGTCCATTCTGGCCTGGGGGAGGAAGGTAGGAGGAAGTGTAGTGTCTGGGAGGGAGTTGGGTGTGAGAGGCATGGGATACCAGAGGAAGGCTCTGGCCTGGAGATGCTTACCTAAGCAGCTCTCAGCCAGCAGCACTCTCAAGCAGGCTTCCCTGCCTGCAAGGCGTCTAGTAGCCTAGGCGGGGGAAGGCTTTGCCTTCCCAAGCTGCCAGGTATGCCCACACTCCACCCCCAGAATGT